GGATAATCACCGATTTGTCGTGGACTACACAGGAAATGTGTTGACCACCCACTCGCCTTTAAACCAGTTAAAAATGATACGAATTTTCTCCCGTTGCGTCACCCGTTTGTTGCAGCTATTTTACAGAAACGTTGTAGTTTTTCCTGTCGATTGGGTCTCTGCTGTAAAAGTAGTATAGTATTACGAAAGCGGCATGTACACTTGCACATAGACCGTTCGACATGCACATTATTGGAAAAACTAGCAGGCAGTTACGTACGCGCACAGTTTTAACACCATTGTGCTTTTTTTCACCACCGATACCTATTCAAAACACATCTGTAGCAAGAGAAAAAATGAAGAATGAACATTCGGTTCTTTTTGTTATGTATTATTTTTACGTATAATGTATTTTTTTTTTTTTACTAAACAAAGACTGCACTTATATGTTGTCGGAACAACATCATACACAAAATACATTGTAGCGAAATCTGTGGCCAGTTATGACCGAAATAATCGTAGAGAAACATTGGTACTTTTGTGTTATACATATTTTATTAGACTCACGGTGTAAAACGCATGTATGTATAATTCAGTCTAGTGTCGTTAAACCCTTAATCTAACCGCCTAACGCTAACGTTTGTATGTTTTAGTCGAAATAGAGGAACCGACTCAAAGATAATATAATGAAACGATCATAATACCATGACCGATCGTAAATGGGCGAATTGCGGAAGTCGAAGGTAAAATGTAAAGAATTAGTTGAAAAACCCTAAAGCCGATTTGTCATCCGATTCGAATAAAACAACCGAAACATTAAAATGGACTTGTTCGCCGTGTTACTTATAGTCGTGTAAATTTTTGGTCCAGAGTAAAGTATGCGTTTCACAAGTATAAAATAAGACTTGAACATTAGTTTCTACGTTGGAAAATGCTAACTAACACTGGTTAGTAATAAACTAAAAATATAAATTGATGCAGTATTAATTTAATGACGGTGTGGTATTATTTCACTGGATAATCATTAGAGATTCGGTAACCCAAATATATCTGTTAGATGAATTTATATTAAAATGTTCAACTGCAGTCGCCCCACATCATTGCCTTCGCGATAATACAAACACTGGCCCTATATCATACACCACCCGAGGTAACGACTGATCGTGATTGAGACTTTTTTTTTAATTCCTTCGTGCCAACACGATAATAATATTATTATTACTGTTATGACGATGCGGCACTCCAAGTTTTGAAACGTTACGGGGCACGAAATCTGTTCAGCGGCGCATGTGTACAATAAATTATTACCGTTGAGTCGTTGTCATAAATAAGACTAAACCGAACGGCCGAATAATAAATGTCTCATCATCAGAAAATACGTTACGAAAAAACGATAACCTACCAAACTGTCGTATTGTACACCTACAGAGTCGTAATTTTTATTAGCATTTGTAATTTGCGAAATTCGTTTTACTAGAAACGGTTTTTTGTTCGACCACAAAGGAATGTATGTACATGTAGTCGTTACAATGATTTCAGGGGTGTTTTGACATAATCAAACAATTTAAAACGCAATCAACGTTAATGACAAGGTCGTGTAACAAGTGCATTTATATGATCACCGGCAACGATTGTCTGTGCCGGCGGAGGGGGAGCGGGTACATGACATGTGGTGAAACCGTTGCGGAGGGCGGCAGATGCCTCTCAACCGTCAACGGACGCGAAATACATCCACCCACCCACCACATACTACAACTGTACACGTGAAAAATGTACACTATTTCATTATCTAAGACCATTGTTCTTAAGGAAGCACGCTTCTTCGTGTACATGGGACGTCTATGAAAAAGTCCGTTAAAAATAATTATGCGCTCAACGGTTTTTGGAGCTGTTATGCATTTTCATGATCGGTAGCCGTCGCATTTCCCACACCTTGAACGCTTAATAATACAATGAGCCGTGTATAGGCTATCATGACTTCGTATTAAAAAAAAAAAATACCCACAATAATCGTTATGTTGTTATTATCTGTCTCAACGGTTATGGATTCCGGCGGAGAAAGGCGACGTCACAGCACAGTGTTGTACTGAGCCAGTATTATTGTACTTAATACATTTAATTGTAAATTGAAGGGGAAAATGTGTAGCTTGGTACTAAATATTAACGATGTTAACTGATGAAGTACGCATTTTCTATTGTAATCCAATTTAATTAAAGCTTCAAAGATTTTTTCGAATAATTAGGCCTAACAAAACTATTTGAGCATTAAGTTTTAAAAGTTTCATTTAAAATTAATTTATTCCGTTTATTTTAGTAGTAAATTATTCCAAAAGCATCATCGACCAGTTCAAATCTGCATTAATAGGATTGGAAACTTAGTAATGTTGTGTTATAACCGGGGTTATAGTGTTGAATGGGATTAGGGGATTTATTCTCCTGAAAATGAAAAATATTTTTACGTTACTATATATTCTTATGACAAATTTGTACAAACTCCGGGCACTTTAAAAATGACTCAAAAAATATTTATAAATGCATATAAATCCGAGCTTTATTTATGATCCATGAGATACAATGGAAACGATCGTTTTAAAAAGTAATAAAATTTATAATTGTTGATAGTGATGTATAGAGGTCCATTATGTTACGTTTACAATTTTGTTTAGGAGCAAATTTGTGAAACTTTGTACAATAGGGATAAAAGTTAGAAGAAAAAAAACAAACACGGTTGTATTTTGTTAAAAGATTGTTCTCGTCGAAAATTTATTGCAAGTTAAGTTAAATGAAAGTATACATGTACGTTTGCTTGAAATACAGCGCTGTTACCAATGCGTATATACATTTATAGGAGTGGAGTTTTTTCAGTGAACTCGATAGGAACACTAAAGCTATAAAACGGATTTACGAGCACAGTACAAAAAATTTATTATAGCCGTAGGGTTTTTTTTAAGCATTTTTGCGAATTTAGTTGTACTTGTCACTGAAAATAATACTCTTATTTGCTCAACGTTGTTATTATAAGATTCGTTTTACTGAAACGTGATGAAGAAGCCATACGTAAATGATTGCAGCTATTTCCAATGTGGAATTCGCCATAGATGTTTTAAAGTCAAGCGCAATAAGTACGGGCATTGTTATTTTTGCGAACACTGACGTTGTTTATACATCGACGTCGACGTGTTGATGCTCATTAACTCGATAACAGCTTCATCCTCAGCGCGGTCGCCACTCGTTGAACATCTTTATTGTTGTATAACTTACTGACATACGAGTGACAGTCACGGACAAATAACTTAAACCTCTAAGTACTATCTTATCCGGTGTTACGTACCCGCGCAGCGGTCATAGTTTGAGAGTTAAAAAAACAGTGCTCTGGTGACACGCGAGTAAAACAATACGCTAGAATCGAGGCGATCCGGATTTAATAACTGGTCCATGTTAATACGAGTACCGGATACCCCGTACACTATAAGTATAGTTGTGTCCGGTCGTGATGATGAATATTTAAAACGTATGATTTTTTGCCTCTCTCCTCCCCCTCCACCCCACCTTGTTTGTGTAGTCGTTGTTTAATCAATTCGGACACAACAGCGGCGGCGGTGACCCTCAATGAGCGCGAACCGGCGAATCGCCGGGCACGATCTCATGAATAATTCACGGGCAACCACGCCATGCACATAACTGAGCTTGGGCATCTTGTGTATGCTAATCCCCGTGCCTCGAACCACCGTGCGCCCGCCGCAACAACAATATCAACAGGAATAAATGGCCCCGTTCAAATTAGTGTACACGTCTGGGCGCGTCACACAATAAGCCACTGACGCGACGGCGGTTGACGACCCGTCGGCGACGCGGTAACGTGTAAATTCTTGGCCCGCACGTCGTGTGCGCTTTTCGATTATACGGTCGAGGTACGCACACGAGACACGGTAGCGTACGGTAGACGGGCCGCCGCGACCTCTTCAGGGGTCAGCGTACAAATTGTTCCATTGGTCATAGACATTTTTCCGTTTCGGTAAATACCGGAACGTCGTTTGAATGGAAACCGAGTGTTTGAAAACTACAATATTCATCTATTCGTTGTTCGATTAGAAATTAAACCCTCCCCGCGATCCGATTTCGAAGACTATTTATACCTCGGATTTATGATAATACGCCACGTTATCGATCGGTAAGGTCTAGTAGTGTCTTTACGCTTCAGTTTCAATTTTGTTTATCTCAGTCGGCTACTATCGAAGAAGAGAAAGTGAAAACGGCATTATAATCATTGCTTTGTATAATTTCGGATACCGTATTTTTCAATGGCTGTACGGTTTATACCAATTACCGTTATCGAGTAGCATACGACGATCGTTTAGGATTTACAATCGTTATCTTCGATCTTGTCGACGCACAGTACGCGCGCCCACGGCCGTGTAAAGAGGAAGACACCTGTTGGTCGCAACGGTCAGCCCATACGTTACCTCTGGTCGCGAATTAATCAGGTCGCCGCCGTTATGTCTATCATACAGAAGCATAGAGGCCGTCGACTACACGATATTTCCATTATGGCCAACGATTTCCTACACAGTAACGCTGTCGCACGCCCTAAAGGTGCTGCAGTAATACTAATTCCCAACTAACGTTTGCACTTCGCCCGAGCTGCTCTTAAACGCTAACTGTCGTCTATACGTATTGTTGAAACAACATGAGCGCGTTGTCATACGTTAACCACAACGACAATTATTTATATCGGCCGACACCTTTTTATTTAAAAAACATCGACGTGTCGTACCGGTAATGTATAGCACGCGTGTATCTTTTTAGAACTCCATTTCCCGACACCGCTTCGGATCGTGATCCAGTATCGATCATCGTTACACACGCGTGCGGCGACGGCGGTTTTTTTACTCGAGAAGAGATTTCAATCGGATCGCATAAACAGATAGTCAAAATTCAGTACCCCATACAGTATTCGTAATTACCATTTTAATAGGCTCTAAGTCAATCTAAAAGCAATATAAGTCTACATAACCACTCACCTTCTTGCGAAAATCCATTGACACTGCTACTGCTGCTAATATTTCCCGATCCCGCTGAAACAAAATAAATACCTAAAGGAGTCGATGTTTTTTAACATAATACGCTATGGCTGTTTCGCCGTGAGACGTTTCAACTATCTGATTGAACGCATCACGATGTATAAACGTTATTAGTTATTGTTTTTATTTTTTACTGTAAAAATTATTTATTGTTATTTAATAATAAAGAGCAGACAGATCAAAAATCAAAATGTTTTGTATTTTGGTCCGTCTTACTTTTCTTTTTACCATCTTCGTGGTGCATTTGTTGTTGGGATTGATGCATCAAACTTTGAGTGTGCATTTGATGTTGTGGCATGTTGTGAGGGTGTAATGAGCCCCCATGATGCCCAAGACCGAGCTCCATTCCAATCATAACCCCTTCCACGGTTTCATTCACCTCGCCTGAAAGAAAAAAAAATAACTGTTACAATCAGATTACAGTAATAAATTATATTATACAATAGGACGTGTGTTGGATTTTAATACGTTTGAGACTATTTTCATTGTAAAGGTAGTGTTTTTAAAGAAAGTTTGTACTTACATTGTATATTAATAAACGGTAAATTTTTACTTAGTAGTGGACAAGACATTTTTTTGGTGTAGTTAAAACAATTGAAACTAATAACTCTACTTAAACCTATTTTAATTTCAGTACCAAATACATAAGATTGACTGAACACTTAAATTATTATTAACGTGGATTTATTAAATAAAAAATAAATAATTTCATTTGGCTTAAATGTATAATAGATAACTTAATTGGACAATTCGTAATTTTATATCATCGCGTGAGTTATTGTTTCGTATAATTTTATCCTTCGACAAAATAATTACAGAACAACCATACACACGTTATTATTGTCTACGTAAATACATTATAATGTAATGACATGTACAAATAATTATTCCATTAAAACAAGGTCCTGCCTTTTATCGTTCTCATAGTCAGTCGTTGATAAACTTAGGTATTTAAACTAAGTCTAACCAGGCTTGCCGTGCGTTAACGGCCATTACGACAATCAGTAAATTTATAGTTTTTTACCATCCGGGTGGCCTGCGCTCATTGCCTTCGTTGACAGTTTGCAAGTCGACTGATGTGCCCGTCCGCCGCACTCCATTTGGACAACGATGACAACAGTCGGTCTTGAATTTATGTCGTGTGCGCGCACCCAGCTACTACCCTTTTTTTCTACGGCATAAGTGTTTGCATTTCATACTCCTACACCTCTCAGGATCCGAGATAACTGGTTGTGCAATTATTCGCGTATTAAAGTGTTGACTGTATTTTTTCGCCACTAGAACTTATCGTTCATTTACGTATCCAAACGTCTTTTGTATAGTGTTTGTAGAGAGATAACTACAGTTAAAATAATAATGAGATTTAATGGTACTCGGAAGGTATCTGAAGTCGTGCCGAGTGAAACGGGTTACACGCCACCGCGTCGAGATGGGAAAACTAAAAAGTGTGAAAATTGAAGCTCGTGATGACTTTGCGCAGCTCCAACTTATAATAGCGGTCAACCGACACACTGAGACGTTGGGGTGTCATCCATTGGGTCGGTGGAGTGCGTGTGTTAGCGTATAGGTATAAATCTCGATCACGCGGGTCCGGTCAGAATCGTGGCTTGATATTATTCTCCGCACAGTATATCGATGCGCCGGGCTGTCTCGTGTTGTACCGTGTTTGACGATAACACACGAAACCCTTCGCCTGTGAAACAAAAAGAAACTGCAGAAACGAGCGAAAAAAAACCTCTGCATATAATGTATTCTTTGGACTGGAGACGTATTAAGTTCTCCGTTTTGCCATGTCATGTGAGTGTGTTCACGTGTGTCATCGTGCACGACACCGGTGTGACGATTCTCTGCGACCTCTCAATAAGATAACCGGCGCTGAACTCGAGTCCGTTCGTCAGGTCACGTTATTTTTCTGTTGCGTTCGATTTTCTTCTCATTTTCCGGCGAAAAAATTTTAAACCGTCGCCGGCGCTGAACAGCTCGTGGAAAACGATTTCATTTTTAGTCGAAACGACCGAAACGTAACTAACGGGCCGGCACAAATAAAGAAGAACGCGCCGACCGATGCGTTCTTGATCGTCCGCACACATAAGTTATTTATTTGGCATTCGGTTCACGTGGCCCATAAATCGGCACGTTTTATCAGAGCGACTTGCAATGTAAATGCGTCGGCGGTGGCGTACGCTCGAGACACGCAAAGCCTCGACCGGCCGGTGCGATATTGTAGTACAACAATATACGGTGCACACGTATAGAATGTTATGAGAGCGGAAGAACAAGTAGACGACGGCGGCGGACGGAATGACCATCGTGATAAGGAGACGGCGGCGGTGACGTGCAAGAATAATAACTCCGCCGGCGTTTGATTCGAGCACGAGATGAATTTCGAATCAAACGTCCCGAATTGTTTGTACGTCAACCCGAATTTTCTACGAAATTGGGTTTGAATTGTTCCGATGAAACGATTGTGTGTTACTATATCGAAATTTCAAAAAACTACAATGCCGTTTTCACACGGTTTTGCCGATGAACCTATTGTGTTTCGACGACGTCAAGGCGAACGGCGCCCAAGCGATTGGCTTTCCAAAGTGGTCTGCCGATGTGTACGCTGTTAACTTAGCGCGTGTCCACGTCGCCACGACCATAACTCTTCGGCATATGCACTCGGCCGGCCGTACATAAATACGTTATTACAAGTCCGAGAGCACGTTGCCGCCGTTTATGACAAACGCGTGTACTCCAACAGGTAATGGTACACCCGACTACGACGACTGTGGTACGCGCCCGTACCGTTTTGTCCTTCTTCTTTTTCATCTCGCCAGACTCGCAGTTACAACGTATTATGTTATTATCGTGTGGGCAACACGGTGTTGCGTTACACTGGTTCGCAAAGAGCGCCTGCCACCGACACTCTTGCAGGTCGTGTTATTAACGTGTGCGCGTATGTCAGTGTCTGTAGACATTTTGTAATCTCTGCTTTGCTTCATACTTTCCCGGTGCACAACGTTCGTGTACAGTAGGCCTCGATGAGCCGAGTTGGCAGACAGCAAAAGTATTTGGAGCGAAAAGACAATCTAAATGCCCTAGTCGGGTGGGACCGAGCACATAACATTGATACGTCCCAGGGGCGTCGTGGTCATAAACTCAATTCGTGTTTAATTTTATTTTATTAACTTATTACGTTCAATCGCCGCAGTATTTTCTATCTTAATAGCTATTCGGTTGTATTATACTGATTGTATGTAACGTACAAAGGAAAATTTACAGAGGTACTTAATCTTTTTAACATATTGTGGCGCATACGTAAAAGTTCTTGTTTTGTTTGCTTATAAAATAGTAAATCGCCAAGCCATACGCTATTTTTAGACTCGAAAATATATNGTTGTGGCATACGTAAAAGTTCTTGTTTTGTTTGCTTATAAAATAGTAAATCGCCAAGCCATACGCTATTTTTAGACTCGAAAATATATACTTTGTGTACACTATTCTTTTCGACCATTTGGTCGAATCACTTTCTTGGTAATGTCGATTTTTTTGCAATAACAGATAATTTTTTTTTTTTACTGTAACATTATGCAAATAATTTATTTTTTCCAAGAACTATAAATTTTCCAATGTGTTTTTATGTGAACGTATAAGTTTATCAGAGTACTGTTACGGTCAAAATAGATATAGTTTGGACACGGTGTTTTAAATTAATACTCGTTTAAATACAAAAAAAATCACTTTCACGTTTGAAATAAAAGTATTCTTGGCGATTTCGGTATCGACACTTTTTAATCGATGTGATCAAAAACTGCCATCTAGTTTAAATGATAATGTTAACTGTAATCACTTTCGATGTTTCATTTGAATAATCAGCTAATAATTAAAAAATTTTGAGGTTTTTTTATTTTTCTGATATACTCTATGATTCGTTCAACTTGTTTTAATCTTTTTTATAGTTAATTATATCGAAAACATTTTTTGTAAAATTGTTTTCATTATCTTTAAAAAGAAAAATACCCTTATTCATTTATCATTAATAATTATGTTATTGTCTATGATATGACATTTTTATAATACCTACTGCAAAAGAGCTACGATGACGTCTACGTTCTATGATAATTAATGCCTATTGTGCAATGACGAGTTCCTTTTGTACAGAAACATTTACACATATCTCCAGACTGCTAAGAAGAGAGTTGAAAGAAAAGACTAAAAACGATTATGTATAGAACATTATAAACAAACCCCATATGTCATTTGACGACATCGGCAGCCATTGGTTTTGGTAAAATTTCGCAGAGAAAATACATCGTAGATACTTTTTTTTTTATATATTTTTCAATGCTACGGCATTAGGAAATTGATATTCAAAAATAAATACTCGAGTATACAAATGAAATATAAAAAAACTTAGTTACGACTGACCTGGGAAAAAACAGGTAGTTATGCAATTAATTGGATTTTCCATCGAGGACGAATTTCCACTCAGATATTTAATTTGTCCACTTTCTCTTGAATTTTTTTTATAATTTCCTTTTAATGCACTTAATAACTTTTTCTTACAATAGCTCAGTCGCTTTTTTCGAATGGTAAAATATGTTGCATTCGATTATTATTATTATTGAATATCTTAAGTAGCGAATTACGTTTTAGGAAATATTTAAAATTCTTGATATTTGACTAAGACTCATTATAGTTGACAAAAATGTTTTACTTTTGGCATACGGTATGCTTTTATCATTATTTGTGAACGATGTCGGGGAATTCGTCCATATACCTTGTTAAACTATCTAAAAGAAAATTTCTACAACACGCTCAACAAATAAATTCAGCGTTAGAACAATAAACTGCACATTTTATTTTATTATTCGCTCGTCTACACATCATTCAGTATTCAGCAGTCTAATTTTCATGTTCGTGGTAATTTGGCTTTGCCGTTTACTCCTCTCTTTTATGCCCCTCCTAATTTACTGACTTGGTTTATCAGCAGGTTATAAGTATAGCAACTAATGAGCCGCACATGACGTTGACGAACTTCTACGCAGACCGCATTCGGCAGGTTGGCGGTGGTAGTTGCGATAACAATATAATTATCATAAGACATACCGGCTAGTGTCTATACAAAACAGTATCCAAATAGTGTTTCGGGTATGGCACTGTAGCCGAACATTACTACGGTGGCGGTGACGACCCGTAATTACATTGTATTCGTGTTTTGTCCTTGATTATGGTGCTGTAGTGTTTGAAAACGGCACTGCATAGTACGACACCAACAACCGTCACAGGAGCAGCTGTCCGCGCGGCGGTGTCACTGATAATGGTGATGGGCCAAAAAGGGTTGACTTGCGTAATGCAATGTCAATGACATGAGCTGATCGCGATAGCAAAAGTNACAGTCTAATTTTCATGTTCGTGTTAATTTGGTTTTGCCGTTTACTCCTCTCTTTTATGCCCCTCCTAATTTACCGACTTGGTTTATCAGCAGGTTATAAGTATAGCAACTAATGAGCCGCACATGACGTTGACGAACTTCTACGCAGACCGCATTCGGCAGGTTGGCGGTGGTAGTTGCGATAACAATATAATTATCATAAGACAAACCGGCTAGTGTCTATACAAAACAGTATCCAAATAGTGTTTCGGGTATGGCACTGTGGCCGAACATTACGGTGGCGGTGACGACCCGTAATTACATTGTATTCGTGTTTTGTCCTTGATTATGGTGCTGTAGTGTTTGAAAACGGCACTGCATAGTACGACACCAACAACCGTCACAGGAGCAGCTGTCCGCGCGGCGGTGTCACTGATAATGGTGATGGGCCAAAAAGGGTTGACTTGCGTAATGCAATGTCAATGACATGAGCTGATCGCGATAGCAAAAGTCAAGGATTTGTCTGTTGAACTTTTGATTAACTCATTGAGCGAATGTTATTTATTCAAACAAAAAATAATCAATTGTTTTTCAAATTAATAATTGAATTACTATTAAGGCATAATTATTGTGCATTTCAGAGAATTTTAATCATAAAACAAATTTCATATCATAAAAAATAAATTTTTTTGGAAATATTATAAAAACAACGTGCAATTTTTAAAAATGATAGATATTTTCTTTTAAATTGGTTTTTTTGATTTTTAAAAGATTATTCTTTTAGGATCGTTATTCATGGCAATTTTAAAATATTTTGAATTGTATCCATTAAATACATTGCTATTTTAAGACATTTTTAACTCATATTTTTTTTATTATCTCTTAATTTTCCTGATTAAAATTGGTTATAATAACTTCAATCCTCAATTAATAAAGTAAAAATTAATTAAATTAAAATAAACTAAATATGTATATATTAAATAAAATACTCATTTTTTATTTAAAAATATTTTTAACTTTTAAAAATCTGATATTTTTAATTTAGAATAACTTGCCTAACTAAAAATGTATTCAATATTATTCACATGAAAAAATTCATTAAAAAATGCGTGAAACTAATTAAAATTAAATTTTTTTATTAATTAGTATAATAAACTACTAAGGTCTTAAACTAAATATCAATGCAGTTGAAATTATAAAAAATAAAAAATAAAAATTCAAGTTTAATCATTTAATATTTATAATAATTAAAAACATATAAATATAAAACGATTAGCTTTTGGTTTAAATTATTGACATTACTTTTTTCAATATATTTTAAAAATAATATGTTTAATACTGTTAATTAGGTAATAAAAAATTATATAAAAATATAAACATGATTAGTTATGCGAAAATAAATTTAGAATTGTATATATATTTTTTATACGTTTGTTATAGAAAAATTTATATTAGGTATTTTTATCAGTTAGCTAAGAGGATGTTGTGTAATTATTTGATTTTCATCGAAATTCTTGGTATTATTTCATGATAATTTTTTTTTATATGAAATGAGGATATATAAAGTTTGCTACTACATCATAGAAATAATAGATTAGACAACTGTTTTTTTAAAAATAATTTGTCGTTTTTCTGTACCGATTCTCAGAAAAATTATGTTAATAACAACATGATGTTTTTATTGATACACTTTTTCGTTGGAATAATTATACTATTTTGCATACATTTTTTGAGAATAATTCAAATTTTTTTAAGTGTTTGAATTTTTATTTTTTCAATGTTCACATAAATTTTAATATATTCGAATTTTTGATAGGAGAAATGTCAAGTTTTTATAAAGTAATTGTACAACAATTTAATCACTTTAATTTGTGTTTATAACTTCTATACTACACAATAGTTTGATATTAGTATATTTTTTTTTACAGAATTAACCTATGACATTAAAAATGTGCTCTATATACAACGACCGTGGGATAATTGATAGAAACAAAAGACTAACAATAAAATGTATTGTACATTATATGAAATGTAATGTCTTAAAGCATGTTATGTTTTCAGAAAATAAGTTTACAATTGGATTTATTCAAAGGATGTAATCGTTTAAAGTTAACAACCGTTTGCGTTTCAACGTTAAAAATTAAAATGTATGCTAACAACAGTATAGTCACTATGTCGTGCTTATTAGAAAAATAATTTTTCTACGTAAAAGTTTATTATTTTATATAAGAAAATAATTTTAAAATATACGAACTTTTTACTATTTTAACGTATTTTTTATAATTTTAGAATAATTTCGTATTGCGGTATCACAAATGCAATCAAATTTATGCGTCTTTATGTGTTTATTTAATTTTCGTTATTTTAATTAAGAAAATAAAATTTTAATTTTATGTAAAAAGAATAAGAACTTCTTTGAGCTTCTCAATTATATTTTTATTATGAGTTTTGTTAATTATTCAATTTTATACTCGGGCGTTCAAGTCTCCGGTAAGCATTAATAACACGAAGCAAGAAAAATGCCCCGAGATGAGATATTACCAATCGATATTGAGATATTAAATGACCGACTCGTTACGATTTCCGGCTTAAGACATTATTACTGAAAGTACAAGTACTTACCGAAACCCGTTTTGGATTATTCCCTTGTCTTGGTCTAGTACAATCAGTGAGTAAAATTTCGAATTTAAAACTCGCGGCCACACTTTATAGTAAAATCGGGTGTGTTTTATTTTCTAAAAGATAAAAAAAAAAAGTTAAGTTTTCCTTGAAAGCCCGCAAAGGCAACAAAAAAATTTTTCAAAAATATTCAAAGCGATTTATGAATTTTTATGTTCAAAGACCCGATCGAAACAATAATTATCAATTGTTAATATTATTATTATTGTGGATGAGTGAGTTTCGGCCAAAGGGGTGGGCGTCGCGCGCGTATCGTTCACGGGTGGTCGATGAAGCACTCGGCGGAAAAAACGCGCGCACATATACACATACACAGGGCGCCGTAAATCTATAGACTATCTATGGTCTACCGATGGTGCGTCACGACCGTCGTCCGCCACTAGGCATACTAGGCACTGGCACTACTACTACTACTAGGTATGGTCCACTGGCAAACCAAACGCTTGGAACACCGGCACCCCCGCCGTCGCCGCGGCTGTAGTAGAGCGACGCATGCCATTGGCCCGTTACCGGAGACGCCCGCCACCGCGGCAACAGGTGCCCCGCGCGCACACACCTACAATAGCTCTCTACACGCGACACAGTACCCATACCTGTAGCCGGTTACTGTTGTAACCCGTTGAGCGTACCTGTGTGCAGTACCAATATGTGTACGCATAATATTTTCGTAGGTACCCGTAGATTGTGAGCGGGCGGTCACTACGTCCGAGAGAAGGGAGACGTCGCCGTGTTCCCAGTTCATAATAGTAATATTGAATAAATAGCGTGTTAAAATAATTAAAAATTAATTATTAAATGTAAGATGTTAAAATGTCCTTATGGTGAATCGTATCGTTTTTGATACTTTTTTACGCAGTCAGTACATATTAATAGAAATCTATTAGTTTATTTTTTTTAAAAGAGACAACCGTGGTCTTCAGAATAAATGTTAAAAATAATACTTTATTTAGGACCAAACATGTCGCAGGTTTTATTTGATTTAGATTTGAAAAATAAAAATGTAATTGGTTAGTGATATTTCAAATGATAAATCTATATCTATATACTATTAAAAAACTGAATACATTTTACGAATTTGATTTCGATTACGGATTTGTAGTTGACGATTTCTAAGGTTTAAGTTTTCATTTTCACTATTTCAAGAAGTTTCAAGTGTAAAACCGGTTACTTATGATACAGTTCCAATCCCTAAACCGAAGTTTTTCTTTACACGGATTTTATCTAAATATATACATTATATCAGATCATGCATAAACAAAATAGGATTACCTTAGTTATACTTTATAGTGATTACCTTATATATTTTTCTTTTAGTAAAAATATTTTTCAAAATAGATATCCTAAAAACAATTATCAAAAAGCAAAAATGTTTAAGTTTACTTAATAGTTTATTAGTCTTAAGGAAACTTAAGATAATTGAATTTTCTTAAAAAATTAATAAATACAATAATTATAATATTTTTTAAGTTAATTATAGTTTACATAATTGAAAAATACAGCATTTTATGTGTTGGGACATGGGCAAACAAAAACGACAGGAAGAGATAAAAAAAAAATTTAATTGCAAACTAATGCAATTTTTTATAGTTATTTTTGCTCAAATCGAAATTACTATATAGAAGGACTAAAATAAATAATTATAAAGCTCTTGAAGCGTATTTATATGTAAAACATAGGCAGATAAAACAGATCGAATATTTTTGAAATGAAAATATTAAGAAAAAAATTTCAGTAAGAAAAATATTAAAAGAGATAAATTTGTTATTACAATAAATGAAATCATAAGATGTAAATATACAAATAGATAGGCTTTATTAGGTTAGCATTATAAGAGCTTTAAAGAGGAACATTAAAACAAAATATCTGGCACCAAACTCAATTTGATAAACAGGACGATTTTAAAAACTTTTAAGATATTAGAAGGAATTGTTTGAAACAAATTTTTGAAATTTGGAATTGTGTGATTTTTGTTTTTCCTATTGTTTCTATGGTATATCTGTTATTATTATATTATAGAGTTATTTTTTACACTTCATATGATTTCCACGTGGATGCCTCTCAACTTTTATTAATAGATAAACATTTTATTTTCGTTTTAGTTAACACCTATTCTAAATGTCGTTATAGTTTACCAAAATTAATTATCTTTGAAAATATTACATTTTACAAAAAAAAAAATAATAATAATAAACCCAGAACAGTGGGATTACGGTACAATGGAAACGTGGCATAGTTAGGGCAAGTATAGATGATGTCAGACAGTGATTGAAACCATTATCATAAAAAACGCTTCGATGCAAATCTGTAGTTTTCAGAAGGAATTAATGAATTATTCTAAAAGCAACAAGAACTCCTACTTCATTGCTTATACCCTGATTATAAATTTTATACTTAATAAGTATAATGCACAAATAATTAAAGAAGTTACATTTAGTATGAAATTGAACAATCATATTTAACAATATAGCATTGTAATTTTTACGGAGAAATTATAAAACGTTATAAGTTGTTCTATAAACAGAGAAGTTCTTTTATTATTAGGCACTCGAATTCTCTTAAAATAATTATTATATTAAGAAAATTCTTTTTGGTACTTTTTAATTTTGTGTATTTCTTGTTTAGTAATAATTAAGTTTTTTTTTTCATTATACCTTATGATTCTTATTTTATTTTTAAGTTAGTTAAATGTGTATTTTGCAATTAAAAAAAATAATATCGATACACTTATATCAATCAATACAAAAATTATTATAATTGATAAATCGAATATCATGTATGAAACTAAAATACTTCCATAAAATATTTTTTTAACATAATTATTATTTTAAGAGAAGTCGAGTGTATAAAAGTGGCTATTAAAAGAATCACTCATAATTTTAAAATCTCAATTTATCATAAGCCATTGTTAACTAGAAAATTTTTTTTAATGGTCGAACTCTTTTTTTTAACATACTTATTGTGTTGACAGTAATAGCTGCAAAATGTTTAACGCTATCATTTAAATTATTTTTGTAATTGAAGTTAAATGGGTAATTATACTCCCCCCTATTCTGTATGATTATACCATTTATGTAAATGAAAAAAATTATAACACACTATAGACTATGATTTTTACATAAAAATTATGTTTTATGTTTACATTTGGAAGCTATTTGCATATAGAAGTTAAGCCGTCAGGATAATTTTTTTTTTTTTAACTTATAGTAAATAACATAAGCTTTAATATAATTTATGTTTAAAGCTCGGAATATGACGAAAACAAAAACTTAAGTTAATTAGATAACTTTTCGTGCAAAAGTTGGTAAAGGGTCAGATTTTTAAGAAATATATCAATATTGGAATTGAAAAAAAAAATGTAATTTCTTCTTATATTATAGTGAAAAATAAGATTTAATAGTTATTTTTATATGTAATTTTATTAATAGGCTAAAGCATACTCAGTCTATGTGAAAATGTCAATCTGTAAAATGAGTGTTTTTTATATCAATACATAATTTACTACATATTATAAATATCACTCCGTTTTGTTAACATTTGAATCTGATATTATATACGAAAAAACAATGCCAAACAAAATACTTTAAGTATTTATATATTTTTTGAATTACCTGTTTAATAAATACAATACAAAAAGAATTTCAAATACAAAATTTATTACATTTAAAATATTTCTACAATATAATAGTTAAAAATTAAAAATCCTAATCATAAAGTTAATACTATGATTTGACATTTTTTAATTAGTAACTTTGCTATCAATCTCATCATAGATATTATACAGCGCCATCTCTTTGTGTATGTAGAAACTATGACTGCACAAATAGAATGCGCTGTTATCTAGGCCTGGTAAATTATTTAGTACGAACGTTTATTGGTGCGATACAAATTGGCTTTAACTGGATAGCTAAAATTTAAATATTTTATACTATTATTAATTAGAGTTAATTCTATAAAATAATATTATATTTATTATTTTTACTTAAAAACTATTACGTTATACTTTATTCTGCGTATATTGTGTAATTACAATTTATAAGTTTGTAGTATTTAAAAAAAATATTTTTAACGATGGTAAATATTTGTTATCTTATGTAAAATCTAATTCACTATTGTAGTTAGTACGTAATTAACAATTTCAATGAACATGAGCGGATACTTGACACATTTGTGAATCCTTTGTGTTTAATTAGACAATAGAATAAAACGTACTGTTTTTGTATTTATGAAATATTCAGAAGAAGATTATGAAGTGAATGTAAAATATTACAATAATTATCTAAATCTATCCTCAATTTAATTTTTATTAATTTATACTTGCTAAAAAGTATTTTATTTAAAAGTAATTAATTTATTACATGTCTGTAATAAACAGCGAAATTAAAACTATTAAATTTAATAAATTTGAATTTAAATTTCGGAACTATATTGTTTATGTAAATATTATATTATATTATAATTAAATATTCCATTTAATTTTAATTATTAAATTTGATTACAAAATTTAGACTTTTAGTAAAATTATAAAAGCCAAATATAGTGTAATTGCTTTTAATTGTCACTAACATGTTTTCTCCATAGCGAATAGAGAAAACTTTTCATGCATAATACTATTTAACTGTTGCTACATGTTTTTATTTTTATAACTCAACGAGAAAGATTTTCTGATATACCTATCAAATTATTTGCACAACAAAAGTATCAGTATAATTGGAATGACTAGTCCAATTATAATTGGATTTAAATAATTATTTAAGATAGAGTCACTCATTATTTTGTAAATAGGTGCAAAAATTATTCGACATATTTTTTTAATTCAATGTAATGAATACTAATGAAATATGTTTTTTTTTTATTGTTAGTGTATTTCTTAAACGTAAACATTTTAAATATCAATTTGTAATAAAAATAATCCATACTTAAAAATCAAACATCTGTAAATTTTATACTATGATTCATTCAATTGAATAACTATTGAAAATTTCAAAATGGATAAGATAGTTAGCAAGAGTAACAGGTGAACAGCAGTTTGTATATGAACTACTATGGAGTATAGTAGTCAATAAGTGCCAAAATTTTTTTTTGAAAATAAAATAAAATCATCCTTTTTTTCATTATAAAAAATTAGAAACTCAAGTTTTTAATTCTTGTTTTTATGTTTTATAAATGTTAGGTAAAGTTAAATTTCGTTACAGATCAAGAGCATTTGTACATAGAACATTTTGTTGAAAAAAACGTTGTTTTAGTATTTTAAGCACTTAGTCCATTTTCCCTATCCATACCTTATATAATTAATAAATAATAAATCCAAAAAACGACAGTTTGATAAAAAAACTTAATTATAATAAGCTCGATCACCATAAAAGTTAATGCATTGTAAAAAGATCAAAGATAATTGTTGTTCAAAATAGACATA